TTTTTTTTTCAATTTGAAAGATGAATGAATTTGGATATTTGGATAACAGAAATGAAGAAGGCAATAAAATTTCTGTGAGCTGTTACAGCCTTGAAAAATTTAGAATGTACGGCGGTGCAACGTGGTCGATCAATGATAGCAACAATGATCGCCTAACACTGGGCACTTGTTCAGCAACCAGTTCAGTGAGCAATTCGGGATCTGTAACCTGGCTAAACGAAAAAGCACCAGCTATCACAAATACCACCACTGGCGATGATGGTTCTAGCCGAACTGATAAGATTTTACAAAAAGTACACTGGTGAATTATGCAATTTCTGATAGTTGGGCACGTACTTTAGAAAATATCAGCAGCTTGATACTAAATCTCTCATAAAAATCTGCCAGTGACTGAAGATTCAGTTGTTTAATTTAGTGGAGCTTGTTCAGCAAGGTGGTTGTGCAGTGCTGTGAATTATCACAATCCAGGTTTCGATGGCAATGCGTCGAAGGCTTACCGTACCAAAAACGCTTGCCAATGGGCAACATAAGGTAGGAGCATTGGGCGATCAGAATCACAGCGACTCAAAGAATAACCGGAAGCTTGCTCACAATAATGTCAACAAACAAGCAAAACCGAAATCTAACAGGAAGATGGTTCGTAATTTCCAGATCGTGTCATCAGACTGTTGTTCATCACGAATTTTAAGAAAAAGGAATGCAACTAAGTCCGTTCGTTTATCCCTCAGCGGCTATTATCTGACTGCTTTTCTCTCTAATTGATTTGTAGTTTTTAGTTGTCAAATTTATTTGAATAAGCTTTGAAGAAATAGTTTTATGTAGAGCATTGTGGTAGTATTTTTTGTTCCCAGCGTGCATACGTTTTCTTCACACTTCTCCGAAAAAGTAAAATTTTTACATGCGGACACGTGAAAGTTTTGGCGGGAGAAAGCCAGCTCGGGAACCAGGAAGCCTGGAAGCTGAAGTTTTTAGAGGATGTTCCCTGTTCGCGTGCGAACCAAAGGTTTTACACTCAGTTCCTCATTATGACTAGTGCTTACATGAAACTTTTGGCGGGAGAATTACTAACTCGGGAACTGGGAAAGCATTTCTGGGGATGTTCTTCCTCATGTGCAATCAAAAGATTTCAAATTCTGCTCGCAGTTAACCCTATTCTCAATACTATAAACTGTGCATTGCGAATAATTGACATTTTTCAAGCCTTCTGCGAGTTGTCGAATTGGGCTCTCCGAAAAATTTCGGGGAATAAAGAACATGCAAAAAAGGGTTAGGTGTTCTTCCAGCTAAAGAAAATCCTTGTGTCTTTACATCATTGGATAAATTCCTTGAGCAATAATTAGTAATGCTGAAATTTGATGCCTTACATTCTAACCTTATACAAATCAGTCTAGACCAATCAGTGTTTATCGATAACAGGCTGTTTTTTCCATCTGAAAAATGTTCAGATCGATATAACTGACGTGTATCCTGTTGGCCGCAGACATCGTCACGAACATCGCCAGCTTCTCAGCGAAGAATATGATGATGAATAATAGCCGTAAGAATGGCTATTGTAATGCCATCGTGAGGCATGACTGTAATAACGCTTTTCTAATGAAATATTGAAAAGGCACAGTTAAAAGTCTTTTGTATTTTTGCCATATCTGCAGAAATTGTTCTGTATCTGTGATCGCTAGGCGAACTGTACGTATAGATTCAGTGTAGTTGTATCCACTCATCTCTTCAAACTTTCTGCATGGAAAAGCTATTTTTATGCGTTTTTTGCAGCTATGCAAAGCAGAAAATGCATATTGACGAGGGGTGTCTGTGTGTGCGTCTGTCACGGTTTTTCATCTCAAGACCTACAAAAGCTACAGGGCAGAAACTCTGGGAACTTAATCTACATGTACGTAGGGGCTCGAATCCCTAAAATGGG